CATCCCACAGCCTTGTACAGTCTGGCCCAAATGCCAAGGGAAGAGGGAAAGGCACTCCAACCTGTGAGCCCCGAGCTTTAATAAATATACTTGACAAGTTGAGAACATTTTGGAAAGAACTACAGTACATCATTTTTTGATGCCAGTAATACCTCAGTTATAATATAAGTCATAGGCAGAAATATAAGAATAACATAGCATTGCTAAAAATTACTTACGCTAAAGTGGGTTAAATAATTCAAATAACCATCAATTCTCATTAGAATAGGGATTTATTTCCACATTCTTAATTTTTGCACCCTTCCCCCAAGACCAAAACCAGCCTATGCCCCTGTAAACGAAAGTTGAGCTGTGAATTACAAATTTAAAGATTGGTGTCTCATTGTGTCAAATTTCAAATAAACAAAGAAGACAAGCTTTTGTTTGGTGATCACTCCAAAAGCCCCAGTTATGAATTTAATTTCTTAACATTTTATAGTAAGCCAGTGCCTGAGAAAAATCTGTGACGTGTCCAGGGCATTGCTAAAGGGCACTCATCTCTCCTCCTAGCAGCAGCGGAATAATTATCCAGAGAAATGCCAACAAAACCGGCGCTTCCAGGGAAAATAGCTACCCAAATTTTTACTACTATGATAGGTCCTCAAATGCCACTTGTGCTCTGGGTATTACCGCCTAAAATCTAATCGGCATAATATATGGCATCTACTGTACAATATAACAAACACCTTCTTTGTATTCAAATACCGTCTTGGTGTTAACAATCATACAAATATTGTAAAAGTATTGCGTGGTGAATGTCTATTGCAGTAAAGTTAGCATATGCACAAAATGAGTAAAAATTATATGATGCATATTTCTAAATAATGAGCTGATTACTGGAGTACCGTATTAAACTTCGAACAGAAACCCTTCTCTATTTTTGCGAACTTTGGATGGACTTCTTTTCGAGGCTTTTTTTGCATAGTAAAGAGGGGGGGGGGGCTTCTTTTCAAAAGTACTGCTGTAAATTTTGACAATTACTACTAAAAAACAATCAATATGCCACTGTTTTATCAGTCTGTATCATGGAGTGTGTCAACAGGCATTAAATTACCTAAACTACTGTGTATACCAAGCGTGTTTTAATGTATTGTTTCTTTGAAATTCATGTAAAGTGAAAAGAAACCGATGCTATCTTGAAAAAAGCCCATGGGCTTCTTTTAGAGATGGGCTTCTTTTTTAGGCTAATTCGCAAACTAATAATTGGGTGGGAGCTTCAATTCGAGATGGGCTTGTTCTCGAGATTCAGCCCATTGGGCTTCCTGGCTCTTATTCAAGATTTTACTGTATTTTAGTTATTTTATTCCAATATCTTAGAATAATTAAGGACATAAAAGTACAAACAATAAAGGTAAAAACTTGATAGATATTTCTGTAATGTCAATGAAATAACTGACCAATCAGAAAAGCACTATAAATACGCGCATGTCCCCCATTATGTTTCTGTACGCTTACATTGTCGTTTTATGAGACCTTGCATGCAACAATTCAGTTTTAATGTCGAAATCGTACGAAAAAAATGTTTAAACCCTTAAATTGTCTAGTAAATCTGTTTTATACCTTCATGGTGAAATTTAATGGTTTAAATAAATAAATTTCTTCAAATTTAAACCAAAGGTTTTATACTGAATGTGTTGACGTGAGAGTGTCAGTCATGTGTTTTTACTGTATAAGGATAATAGTAAACTATAGTGAAATCAGCGAAAATGTAATTATTCTGAGAGTTGATAACTTATTTAATCCATGTTAAATACAGACTCACAGTGGCATAACGCCATGAGCTCTCGGGGTTTCAGCTTTGGGCCCCGGGGAACCCCCTACTACACCTAGCACTTTACTACTGAGCCTTCACAGTGGCATAACGCATGTGCTTCCTGGGGCCCAGTTCCAGTCCAAATGGGCACTCATAGAATTATACAAATACAAAATTAGCTTATTTTGAAGTACCAATAAGGTAACGTTCGCCTCTGTTTCTGGACTTTCTTCACCGTTTTTTCTCCATTTCTGGGGGCGGGCTAGCCCCCGTGCTGAGTTCCCTGTGCGCAGCTCCCCTGATAATCAATGATTGAATGATAATGCTTATTTATTTTGGAAAAGCTTTATTGGAACTGAAATCAACGCATTCATGATTAAGCATGTAACCTATGAACGCTAATGAAAAGCACGTACGCAAATGACGATGTTGCACGCAAATATTAAAATTTAAAATGTATGTGCAAAATAGTTGATTATATTGTTAAATAGGCACTCTATATTTTACAACATTACTAATAAGTAAATTGTCTAATAATTAAATCGTCTTTTTAGCCTTAATTATCTCTAGGTTGATTATGCACCCGATCACTGCGTGAGGGAAAATACTTTACTGATGCTTTATGCCACTGCAAACTCATAACGCATGGTATACCTGGATAATGCTAATTCTCCCACCACCACACACAGGATCCATCTATGGACCTGGCAGAGCAAGTCTCTTGAAAGCATTCCAGGGGCTAAGTCCCCACGGTACCCCCTCCCGCTGGCGCCACCTCTGTCTAGAAAGTAGGCCTATGAGAGGAAGACTCAATGCATAGCCCATGAGCGACATTAATTTTAAGTGCGTGTGGACATTATCTTATTCGGTTTAAGGAATGCATCCTCAGGACTGGGCATTGTTGTTTTGTTGTGTGGTTGATTCTTGAAGTGTGCGTGTATGTACCCCTTTGATTTTTCGGGTTGTTATGTCTGCCTCTCACATTCCGTTCCATGTGTAGGCCTAAAGAATAACGTACGAATAGTCTGTTAATTTGAAAACCGGGGTACATCCGAACAATAAATGAAACTGTAATTTTTAAAGCGTCTATATACCAACATATTTTTGAGTATAAGTATAATAAATATTATAAAGTCAATGATCCAAACACAATAAAGCAATTGCTTGGTGATTTCTAAGTTTTTATTTTACCTAATTCTAGCAAAACACCGCAAGTTCATTATTACATATTTCATTTAGGCATATATCTTTTAATATTTGATGATGTTTATCATGTTATATTTTGAATTATTTATTTATTGTCACTTCATCTTTAGAACGGTGGCACACACAACTCGTGTTGTGCGGTCGTATAACAATAACAACTAAAATACAAAGAAAAGAAAAACTAAAACATCATCTAAAGGAAAAGCACAACAACTTAACCAGGAATATAAATAAAGCATGCAAAAGTATTAACAATATTGAGATTGTAAACAAATGGAACTGAATTATAATGTAAAATTGAAATGAAAATAAAACAGAGTTGAACTAATTAGAATTACAAAAATCTTGTAAAACAAGAAGTACCAACATCAAAAATAAATAAATAAATGAATGAATATATATAGGCCTATATACACATGTATATATATATATATATATATATATATATATATATATATAGGCCTATATATACA